TCTGGATATCATAAAATTGATAAAGCTTCATTTTTTTCATATATATTATTAGTACTGAAAGTATACCGCTTTAATTTTTCAAAAGTAGTAGGAAGTTTGCACGTATTTCTTAGATGGTTTAATAGTTTTCAAGACATAATTCATGTGGTTCCTCTTGCCACATCATTGATCTAAATAAAGATTTGTACATGTGTCTTGCTACTTACGCTTACAGTTTACGATAGTTGCACACAGACACACACACACCCATCCACTGTTCATTGTGATCTAATAAACTTGCAAGGAGTAGTAAATTCATATGATCTTGAAACATTCTAATTGGTATATTGTATATCAAGAAGTGATATTTTCCATGCACCTTGATGTGTTTTGATGTCAAGAAGTTCCATACTCGTCATATTAGCCTTATGAAAAGCTTTTCATGATATGTTTTTATTTCTACTAGATTAATCTGCTTTATTTTGATGCACAGTGATATTATTTGTTAAGATGGTTCACCATGCAGATGGAATCCAGAAACAATGATTAAAGTTGTTGCATAGTAGCAAACAAGTACATAGAGACACACTGCATTCTTATATAGTGAAATTTTTTATGTGGAGAAGTATGCATGGGAATAATGTCAAAGCTGCTTCTAGAGCTGGCTAAGGGCCTATGATGGCTTATGTGGAGTAGAACGGAAGCTGGTGATTAGTAAATATTGACTTTTGGCTATTGCAAAAATAGCTAGGCCATACTAATAATTAAGGCCAAAAAGTTACCTAGTTTGTGATGGAACCCTTGCCCATTGCAAGCGCAGGCCAAACCAACTCTTGTACTTGACTTGAATGTTTACCATAGTTATTTGTGTATTTGTAACTGTAGAAGAGGAAATCAGAGAGGATAGTTGGCCTCTCCTTTTGGTCCTTTATTTATATCATTAGGAGTACAATGAGTTTTAGTAATTAGACTACATGGGACTAAACTAACTCTTAACGTTCTTAACATGCCCCTCATGCCCCCTCAAGCTGAGCGTATGTATCATACATCCCCAGCTTGTCACAAGTTCACTCGTGTTCTCCTAAGGGGTTTTGTAGGAATATTTGCAAGATGATGTTCTAAGTGTATGTGCTTCCCTTTTTCCATTCTTTCGAATCAAGTGACAATCTCAATAAAGTTTATTTTCTCATGGAACACTAGATTCTCACTAATGTGAATAGCTACTTTGTTGTCTCCATACAGACTCATAGGACATTAAAGATGAAAATCAATTTCCGTTAATATGTCTCTAACCCAAATTAACTCGCAAGTCAAATTTGTCATGGCTCGATACTTGGACTCTGTTGTAGATTGAGAGATTACAATATGTTTTCTACTCTTTCACGAAACTAAGTTTTCTCCAAGAAATACAATATCCAGTAGTCGATCGTCTATTTGTCAGGGATCCTTCCCAATCTACATTGAGAATCCTGCAACTGGTGTGACCACTACCTGAATGAGAACTCCTTTCACTGGAGGTTTCTTAAGATATGGATCCTCTTTATAGCATCTATGTGAGGTGTGTTGGGTGTCGATAGGAAATGCAATATTGGTTGATTAACGGTCAGATAGTTTTGCTTCCCCATTAATCTTCTCTACTTTTTAGTATTTTCCAATAGCTCCCCCTTGATATGATAGTAGTTTGATCTTGTTACCCATAGGTGAGTCCATACCCTTACATTATGACATCCTAATATTTAATGATATATCAAGCATTTTTTCTCTATGATAAGAGAATTTCCTTCTTCGATCTAGCCACTTCAATGCTTATAGTTGATATATAATATAGTATCTATATATATATATATATATATATAATATATATATATATGTTATATATATATATATAAGATCGAAGATGCCTTAGTCTGAACTACTGCTGTAGATACTCCTTCAAGTGACTCATGCTCTTGAGCACATATCTAGTTTGTATATATAATATAAGTAAGACTTCTATCACTTAAGTTGATGTCCACCAAACTTCCTACCACTCATTTATTAATATAAAAACCTTTTCATATCATGCAAGGATCCCTAGGCAATATGAGTGGCTAAAAAGTTTGGTGACAACTTTTTGCTATCCACTTAACTTTGACACAAGTTTTGCTCTCTCTCTCTCTCTCTCTCTCGTCTATATATATATATATATATATATATATATATATACTATATATATATATAGTAGTATATATAAATCGGAAGATCCTTAATCTAAAACTACTGCTGTAGATACTCCTTCAAGTGACTCATGCTTTGTGCATCATATCTAGGAAACACAATGTCGTCAACATATACTACCAAAAGGATTCATTTCCCGTCATGAAGTCTCCAAAAAACAGAGTGGTCTTCCTGAGCTTAATGAAGACCAAACTCTTAAACTATTGCTGCAAAACATCCGAATTAAGCTCTCAGAGATTGTTTTAAGCCGTAAAGAGATTTCTTCAACCTGTAAAACTTTCCATACTCCCCCCAAGCAACTAGCCAAGGTGATTGCTCCATGTAAACCTCATGAAGAAATGTATTAAGGAATGCATGTTTAACATCCAGATGATGTATTGACTAGTGATAGCGAACGGCAAGCGAAATAAGAATGCTGACAGACGTTATTTTCGGTACAGGAAAGAATGTGTCAATATAATCTAGTCCGTATATCTTCGACTATCTCTTTGCAACTAATTGAGCCATCTGGATTCACCTTTATTGTATAGACCCACTGGCAGCCAACAAATTTCTTCCTTGGTGGTAGTGGAACATGATTCCAAGTCTCATTTTGATCCAAAGCTGTCATCTCCTCTTGCATTGCTGCCGTCCAACATGGAGTAGGGCTTCTGACATATTTTTGGGAACTGAGTGAGTCCAAAGAAGATATGAAAGAATGATATGATGGAGATAACGAAGAGCAAGTGACATAGTGTGATAGGATACCTAAAACAAGATCTCTTACCCTTTCAAAAGGCGATGGAAAGATTATCAGTAGTTCTAGCACTCGGCTGTACATCAACATTTGGACTAACTTGTAAGTCAGGCCCTTAGTTGGGACGGACTCTAGCAAAGGAAAGGAGTACAGTGAGTACAATGAGTTTTAAAACTTAGACAATGTGGGACTAAACAACTTTAACACCAGTAGCCAAGTAATAAACTAGCTTTTAGCTTATTTGGTATGGTGTTATCAAATTTGTTGTTTGGTTTGGACTTATTTCCCCTGACTGCAGGTACTTTTCAACCCTTTCCCATCATTTGCTTGTGCATCCTTGCATCGCCTTTGGTTTGTATGGTCATGCTTCTCATACAAGACACAGTTACATGGTTTAATGTTTCTTTGCCAGTGGATTTGTCATTAAATGATGCTTGCCTGACCCTTAGGGGTTATAGTTTGAACGAGGTCTAGAATTATTATTATATGAGCTAGTTATATTTATTAAAAATTTTATATGGTAAATTTGAAATCTCAGAGATTTTCCATCTGGTTTCTTATGTGACCAAATTCTCAATAGCGAGGCTTTCAGATCGTGCGAGCCACAAGAAAATTGGTAGGTTCAGGCAGTTTTCTCAGAAAATTTTACGGTATGTGGTAGGTGCTTGTTTAATATGACGTCTCTTAGGGCATATTGTTAGTGTGACTTGTATAATATCGTTGTTCTTGTCTTTGAATATGAGTTTACCAATTTACTGATTTTATATAGTTTTAATTTTTTATTTAATTATTTATTTTGTATTGTGCTATTTTTTGTTTTATTGATCTCTAATATATTAATTGCAAGTTTGACAGCAACATTTCTGATTCTTATTTTTTAGATGAAGCTGTAGGATCCTCTGAAGGGGAGCTAAGCTGTGGGGATGTTGAGACATCAGAAGGCCAGGACAGTGGTTCTCGGGTAGCCGATCATGAACTGAAGGAAATTCTTCTCAAAAAGTATAGTGGTTACTTGAGCAGTCTTCGGAAGGAATTTTTGAAGAAAAGGAAGAAAGGGAAGCTTCCCAAGGATGCTAGATTAGTGCTTCTAGACTGGTGGAACACTCACTATAGATGGCCCTATCCAACAGTAATCTCTAAACTACTAATTAGATTAGCAACATAGTATGCGGCAAGATGAATTCGGTGAAAATGCATGTATTCAAAATTAAATTATGGAAAAAGATTTTTTTTGTTGATTCATGTGCCAAAAAGAATCTCAGGTGGGTACTTAAGTTTATTGCCCATTTCCTCATTTTCATAGAATAAAATCACTTGCAACTAATATTTATTGGAATTACTGAAAAAAGTGAAAATATGATGTTAAGCAAATTTCTAGTCCTCTCAAGTTGCTCCCCCTTAGCTCGATTTGCATTATACATGTTTAGATCTTTCAGAGCAGTTATTATGGGGGTGGTATCTAAGGATTTTGGATCCCTTTTACCAGAGCAAGTAGCGAATAGTTTACTTTTTCTATCATAACCGTCCATAATTTATTCAATGTTTTTGTCTAGGAAGAGGAGAAATCGAAGCTTGCAGAGATGACAGGTCTCGACCAGAAGCAGATAAACAACTGGTTCATAAACCAAAGGAAGAGACACTGGAAGCCTTCAGAAGACATGAGGTTTGCCCTCATGGAGGGAGTAAGTGGAGGGTCGAGTGGCGCGACATTGTACTTTGACACTGGCATGATTGGGCCTGGAACTATATAAACCTATTCATACGTGTAGTTCTCATTTTTATTTAATTGGCAGTTATTCTGATGACCTTGTAAATGTGATGTTGCTGAGGATCAAATTGCGTCAGTTGTATGTATCTGTTGGCTACTTCACCTTATCTTAATTTGATGAACCTACCCAATATCCTCCGCTTCTTTTTTTTCGTTTTTTTGATTTGCAGTACCTGAAAATGGGCATTGTAGCTGCATGCATGGAAGTTGTAGATCTAGTTTGAGATGTGCAAGAAAGTTCAAGAATTTTCCTTCGGTACTAGCTTTTGGGGATTTTTCCATGTTTCGTGTTTGTTTGTGCCTAAGTTTGTTCTTAGTTTATATGTTATCCACTGCACAATTATAAATTGTGTTTCAAAGCAGAACTGAGTGTTTCGGTTTTCACTTCGCACGCTGGACTTTTACGATTTTGATTTGAACAAATTACAAAATAGACCCTATTAAAAATTTAGTTTTAAAATTTGACTCATTTGAAATTTAATTACTATTTTCAATCTGGTTTCAATCACTTAGCTGAAACCAGGTGAAAAATGGTAAATAAAGTTTGAAAACTTTACGAGAGTTTAAATCCCGTGAAGTCTAGTGTGGTTAATTAAGCATTAAATTTCATGGGATTTTAAATCCAGTAAAATTTTTGAACTTAAAATCACGTATAGTTTTCGAACTTCGGCAGCTTTATTTGTTGAGCGCTGCGGAAGCCAAATAACCAAACCAACGTGCTACGAGAAATCAAATGAAACGAGCGTCGAGAGAAGGCCAAACGAACCAAATCAATGTCACAAACACAAACAACCAATTTTAACGTGGCTCGGCAGGTTGCCTACATCCACGGGGCAAGAAGGGGATGATGTTTTTCACTAATAGAGAAGAAGAGTACAAATTGAGATTACAAATCACTCAAACTCACAAATTAATCTTACCAACAAATCTCTAATACTCTCCAAACAAAACCCTAACCAATAGCTCAAAAAAAATATATTTTTTCTGTGCTCCAAATATCCCAAATTTTCTTCTCAATTCTCTCTTTCAATTGTTCTATATATATATAGAAATCCTAAAATCATAAACATACTAGGAATTCTAAAACAAAAAACAAAACAGATTGGAATCCTAATAACCTGTTACCAAAACAGATTTGGAATCATATTACCAAAACAGATTAGGAATCCCAATAACCTGTTACCAAAACAAATTAGAAAACATATTAGGAACATGCTATCCAACAATTCTCCACCTCGGTGAAGTTTTCTCAAAACTGAGCCGACACTAATACCAACCAAACGTCTCACTTGTTGCGTCCAGTACGAAGTGGAACAAATCCACAACAACAGACTCAATCCACAAGTTGAGAACCCAAATGAGAATGCGAACAAACTCCAAATGTCGGTATCAACTCACCAAACCAGCTGCATCATAAATGACTACCTACATCCTCTTGCCCAAAGAATCAAGCCTTCACGTAATTTACCCAAACGGCCTCCAAAGACCCTAAATTAAATAGAAAAGTTTGTAACTCCTCACCAATATCACCAACGGATCTGTAACTGATAGCGCTCCCAATGGTCCCAAACTGAAACAAATCAAACACTTCTAACTGAGGTGAACCAATGGCCGTATCCAAAACATGTCCACCAGCTGCACTCGAATCCAAAACCAACTCATCATCTGCATCCAAATCCAAATGATCTTCAAACTGTGTCACATCAGCTAGAATCCCAAATGATGCAGTATGATCTGGAGTATGTGGAGTAATCTCTGTTAGACCCTAGAGGGGGGTGATTAGGGTCTTATGCTAATCTAATCCGATTAAATGCCAATTAAAATTAATTAACAAGTTATCCTAGCAAATATGAAATACCACAAGATATATAAGCTAGGATAAGCAATGCAAACAAAAAGATATATATATCCTATATGATGAGATCTCCACTATCACAACCGGGTTTTCTACGTTCACCCGAACAACGTTTACACCTCACAATACAATCACTATGCAATCACACCTCACACACTAAGTGTTGGTCCTAGCCCGTGTCCTCCTCCTCAAGTGCTCGGTTACAACCTCTCCCTAGGCACGTCAACCGACGCCACTCCTCTTGGATTCGACCCCGTCTCTCACCACACACTTCTCTCGGTGTACAAGTGTATTACAAGTGAATCCTCACAATTAGGCTCAATACAAAGTGTTTGTTCTCTACAATGAATGAGAATGAATTATAAGCTCACTCTCTAAGTTACACAATCCCACAACCCAATTATACTATGAATGTAAATACAATAAGCTCAAATGGTTGTGTGTATAAACATAGAGAAAATAAAATCAACTAAACTCAATATAAACACTAGCTTAATAAAATGATAATCAAACAATAAAATATAAAGCTAGATTGAGTTTAGAAAACTTCTCCAATAAATGACAAGAGTGAGAGAGAGATGATTTGAAGCCCAAACACCAAAGATTATCTCCTCAAGCCCTTGTGAAATTATCTTCACAAACCAAACTCTTAAACACACTTAGAAAACCTTAAACAAACTTGTAAAAACTCTTTAAAACTTTTCTCTTGGTTAAGTTGAAAGATAACATCAATAGGGTATTTATACCCATTCAAAAACTCAGCCAAAACCCCTAACAAAAGACAAAAACAGCCCCAGGAAATCAGCTCAGGAAATAGCCGTTGGGAAAGCAACGGTAATATAGGCCCGGTGCGGTCGACCGAAATCTGACATATTCAAAAATTGTTTTGCTGATTTTAAAATACTGTTTAAAAATATCAAATAAATTCAGAAAAATGTAAAACTTTGGGGAATGATTGTAGACATGATAATAAACATGCTACAATGACTGGTTTCGAAAAAGGACTTCCCAAATGAAAAATATCATCATTTTGCAAAATAGTCCAAAACATGAAAATGTAAACATGTGAATTTTGACATTTTGGCTAAACCAACTTTTGAAACTTTACAAAATGATTTTATAGACTTGAAGAAAGATGTAAACTATTGTTATGAAGTCTATAAACAATGAATGTAGTATTTTATCAAAATACACATATAATGCACTAAAACATGATTTCATTTAACTAACTAAAATTGATATTGATGAAATCATATATATGCATATGAGTATGAAACAAAAATATGTTTTCTAATTATATTCAATTGTTTCATAGTAAAACTAGAAAACTATCAAACCAAAACATATATGTATATATATAACTAAATTGTTTCATAGTAAAACTATCAAACCAAAAACCAAACCGTGTATGTGTGTATATGATTGAGCTTAAAGTACTAACACACATAATATAAAACCTATACTATATTACCCAAGCTAGATCTTGATCTTCAATGAGCTCGACTTGGTACACATGCGGATAAAGCTTGAACTTGATCTTTAACTTGAATTATCAAGGCTTCACCGATATTCTGCCAACCTCCTTTGGATATGATCGTTAAAGCTCTATTCCATCCATCCTCCAACAACGTTGTTTGTCTATAACCTCCTTTGGATATGATCGTTAAAGCTCTATTCCATCCATCCTCCAACAACGTTGTTTGTCTATAATAAATAAGAAAACACAAATACTAGACAAACAACATTAGTGGTAAATTATTTGTTAAACATCATCAAAACAAGAAGGCCAACAATCTCCACCCAATGTGAAGTAGCATCACCCTCCACCCGTTGTGATATCCTAATGATCTGATCAACACTCTCCACCTGCCGAGAGTCAAAAGTGATATACCTGCTCAGAACAAAATCAGAAGCTCCTAACTGATAATCAAACGAACATCAGAATCCCAAACGTGTAATCGGATCAAATCTCACATTCTCGATGTGACCAAATACTGCGCAACCAAATATCTGACGCAACCCAAAATCTGAAGCAGCTCCACCAGATTCAAAATCTCCACACGCAAAAGTCGGCAACCTATGACCAAGATGACCTAAATACGTCGAAGCTCCAAAACCAAAACCAATGCTCGACAACCAGCGCCGATCCCCCTCCAGTAAGGAACGACCCATCAAAACTGTCATCTCATCTCGTCGCCCTAATATCTCCACATCAATGAAGTGTCTCAAACTGCCATGAGCTTGACACAAATGCAAGAAAGAACCCCTACCAAAGCTATAACGACGGGTTATCTTTCTGCCAATACACTTCTTCTAAATGTTGTTGACTTCTAGGACTTCACATCAACAGGACCTGGTTGCAACCCACCAATGCCTAGAACAATCCCCAACCTTGGAAACCAAATACCGATTACCTCCCAATGATGCCTCCTTGGAAGGCCCCCGAATGCCTGACTGAACACCACCTAAAAGACCACTCGATCGATGGATAGAAGGGCTAAACTCCACCTCGGTCTTCTTGCTCATACCAATGTGCTCAAAGGACTTCAATCTGCAGGTCAAAACACTCCTCAACAAACCATGCACGGTATAACCAATCAAATAACCCAGCCTCAACAAATGCCACAGTCTAGCCAAATCTAAAGAAACCGTCAGCTCTATATCAAACACTATGCTCCTAATCAAATAATATAAATTATTCCTCCTGACGCCATTCATCACAATTATGGACCCCAATGTGACCTTCAAACATGAATCGACCAAGGTCATCCTATAGCCTGTTGCCTCCAAAACTCCAAGTGAAATGATATTCTTCTTCAACTGAGGAACGAACCTCACTCCAATTAACTCCCGAATCACTCCGTCACTCATCCTAATCCGAACGGTAGCGATACCACCAATAGGACATTCATGATCATTATCTCCCCTCTTTCCAACTCCTGAAAGCTGGGGGAACCAATCTCTCCTAGGACAAATGTGGTAAGAAGCACCCGAATCCAACATCCACTCTATAGAGTCGGCAACACAAACTGACGGTAGTGCAATTAACGAGTAGGACGAAGAATCCGAATCTGAATTATTACCACTAGCCTTGTCAACATTCACCTCTGAAGCTTGAATAGCTTTCCCCTTATTTTTCTCGGCTCGATCAACCAACTTTAGGCATTCGGCTTTTCAATGTCCATCCTCTTTATAAAAGACACACTGATTTCTCCAAACTCCAAGATGTGCCCCTCTAGACTGCGACCTCCTACCACGGTTTGGACTCTTTTCTCTTG